TCTCTCTCTCTCTCTCTCTCTCTCTCTCTCTCGCTCTGTCCCTCTCCCTCTCCCTCTTCCCCTCTCTCTCTGTCTCTCTCTCTGCCCTTCTCTCTCTCCCTCTCCCTCTCTGTCTCCCTCTCCCTCTCCCCCTCTCTCTGCCTCTCTCTCTCTCTCTCGCTCACGCTCACGCTCGGCCCATTCCTAACCGATCGAGCACATATCCAGCAGCCCACCCACTGCTTCCCTGATCTCTATGCGTTACGCTACTGTCGTTATTCGCCCCGCCGCCGCCGCCGCCGCCGCTGCTGGAGTCGGCATGGACGGCCGGACCTATGCAAACATGCCGGGTGGCAATCCGACTTTCATCCACGATGTATCGATTGTGGATCACCACCGATGGCACTGCGGGGCGCGAGCGAGCGACCGAACACGCGAGCAAAAATCCGCCGAAGACGACTTCGATCCGAGAGAGAGTCTCGCGCGTGTACGACAAGCCCGGGGTGAAGCCGCGGTCCGACGATGATGATGATGATGATGATGATGATGATGATGATGATGATGATGATGATGATGATGATGATGATGGTAATCATGGTCATGATGATGATGATGATGATGATGATTATGATGATGATGATGATGATGATGATGATGATGATGGTGACGATGATGATGATGATGATGATGATGATGACGACGACGACGGATGATGATGATGATGATGACGAAGACGACGATGATGATGATGATGTGATAGATATGAAGGATGATTTGATCGCGCCCCTCCCCTCCCTTCCCCGTCCGTCCGTATAGTTTTGTAGATCCCGCCCCACACGCACCTACCGGGTCCGGGAGCGGGAATTGGCGTGGCGGAATCCCTCCTGCATCCGTCTGCATGACGACACCTCCATCGGTCTTCTTCCTCGGGATGCCTCGAGGATGAGAGAGGGGAGGAGGAGGAGGAGGAGGAGGAGGAGGAGGATGAGGAGGAGGAGGACGAGGAGGGTGTGCGGGGGATTGCTTCACACGTCGCCCGTCCATCGGTCTTCTTCCTCGGGATGCCTCGAGGATGAGAGAGGGGAGGAGGAGGAGGATGAAGAAGAAGAGGAGAAGGAGGATGAGAGAGGGGGAGGAGAAGGAGGAGGGAGAGGGGGGCATGCATATGCGAATGCGCAATTAGTTTAGTGAGGCGTCTCTAAGCGGTGTATTTGCATTGGCCTCGATTGCGCGCAGTTTAGCTGTCTAAAACTATCGTTTCGGATGCGTCGGACGCTGCGAAGCAAAATTACGGGGGGTCCGCGGGCCGTACGAGCGTTAGCGGGCATTATGTGTAGTACTAGAAGCTGGGGTTTTTGTTGTTTTTTTCACCATGGAAAAAGCGTTCGGAAGTGACGGCCGGGAAAGTTTTTTTTCTGCGTGCGGTCAAGCAGTGCGATTTGATCGGCATTCTAAGAAACTAGTTCGTTTGGCGTCAAGATTATTGTAGTTGGTAGGGGGGGGGGTGTTCTTCGTAACTGGCGTGTTCAACAAGGATATGTAGAACGACTGGACGACACCCCGTGGTCACTCCCATAGTCCAAGCCCTATGTGTTTAACAAGGATATGTAGAACGACTGGAATGAACAATTAATAGAAGGTTAATATTTACAAATTATAAAGAAGAATTACAATAGGAAAAAAGAATTATGAAGATAATCTGAAAGGGGGATTAAAATTTCAAGTTAATATTTGCATATTATGTTTATTAATTTACAAAAAAGGGTTAACATGGTCCCGAAACGATAAAAACTCACTCGTACTGAAAACAATTATGATTTATGAAGACAATTTGAAAAGGAAAATAAAAAATTCACGAACTTAATACAGAAAAAAACGGTTTAAATTAATAATCTTCCCGAAAAAAATCACTGACAAGTGTTGACGATATTACGTCGGTCACTCATATTGGACAGATGCGAGTGTGAAATGGGATAAAAGCATAATATACTTAATGAGGAAGTCCGCGTATATATAGGGCGTCATAATCGAAGATTGGGGACGCGAGTGATCGCTTAGTGTCGATGACGTGAAGGTGCTCGTAGCGAATCAACCTAATGTATAGTTTATGAGTGGTTTGGGGGCAAGTTGCCCTTCTTCTGCGACGTATGTGTCACCTAATACCAAACAAGTGCAAATGAATCACATATACAGAGCAATACAGAGCAATACAGAGCACTCAAGTTATCAATAATTTATAAGTTTTTTGATAAGGGGAATCTAGTTAATATTTATAGTTTTCGTCGTGGGCGAATGGCCTGCCGCATCCGTGCGTCAGTATACAGGCACGTCGAACAAAATGGATAACGATCTGAAAATATCAGGGAGTGTGTGAATTGAATTCTTACACCATCAGTTGTACTGATGTGGTGTAACTCACAACGCGATGCTTCGTGCGATAGATGCAACGGATAAAAATCGACGAAAAAGTGGTTCGGTTTTTCAAGATGATGAATGTAAATGGAAACGAGTATTTTTGAGGTTTCCGCGCAAATTTCGTGATTTGGAAGGCTGGCTGATATTTCGAAATGAAATTTTGGTATTGACATGCGCTTCAGCGGATTCGACGTGTGGGGGGACAAGATGTGTAATATCGATTCTCTATCGGAAGAGGCTGGGCAACCTTCATGCTCACAAACGAACCCCTTCCCCACACAAACTTGACATACTTTTATGTTCTTATATATATAATATATATATATATAATAGTCTGTCTCGTTATGTTTTAATATCATGTTTTTTGGCACATGATTATGTGGCAGTAATCAGCCATCTCTCCGGAAATAGTCGCAGCAGACTACATCGTTACTATTATATGTTTTTATAGTGACTTCAGACGTCTGTAATTCACTTTTTTAATACCTACACTACTTTGCAGGAGCATGATTTTAATTTAAGAATCAATCTCCTAGTTTGGGTTTCCCAACGTCTGTACTTTTGTTACTTTTAGTTACATGCACGAAACAATCAATACAGATGTAGACCGTGTCTGTGTTAAAGCAATATCAAAATGAACAGCGGTGTTCTACATAGTACTTAAGAACATTTATTAAACACATTTTCGTGGTAGTACATTGACGTGCACATCTCAGCAGGGTCGGTAGCAGGAAACGAGGACTCATTGCTATGAACATATATAATATGTTATAACATACATCCTATTTGACGGGCACGTTGAAGAAGTGCAGTTAGGAGTTAACATCGGTGATTTCACTTAGTTGTTAGATATTTCTTGAACGAGATCGGGCGTAAGTAAGTAAGTGTACGGGTTATTCCCTCACCGTTGCTCGCTCGCACTGCACAGTAGTGCGCATGTAAATACAGTCAAATCTGAATGTAGAGGTCACACACATATGTCAAGTGTCCGCAACAGGGGGATGTTGTATAGGCATTATATCAAGAGCGTATGAAGACCTTTTTTATACGCTCTTGATTATATCACTCTACAACTGCCCCTCAGTCGAACAGCAGAAGTGTCCGCTATAGATAGGTGGATGTCGTATAGATATAGTTTCACTATACACGCGCGAATGAAGCGAACAGGAAAGGTGTCCGTTATAGGCAGGTGTCCGTAATGTGGAGGTGACCGCTAACACAGGGTTGACTGTACACAAACGAAACACGTTCCTAAGAAATTAAAGAACAGTTTCCAGCAGAACCGACCGAATTTCCCTATCCTAATATATATATATATATATATATATATATATATATATATATATTTATTTATTTATTTATTTATCCGATAACAGCAATTAGCGTGCGAATCTTGCTTGCTTCGACGTCCTTCCGATTTTGATGCGGTGCGTATATCATATACGCGTGTCTTCGAGACATTATTATAGAGGGAGCGGGATTTTGAGATGATTCAACTCGGGATGGTGTTCATCGTGACTGCTAGGTTACGGGGGCAGGTGTGGGAATAAGTAGGTGTGATAGGTGGGAGGGTGGAAGTTCATCACGGGATATATAGACAGCGATCGGCGGCAGATATATAAAATTGTTAGCACGCGGGTGGATGGAGAGGGAGGGTGTGTGTTAGGCCCGCAACCTTCCCTCCTTAACAGTGGTTACACTTGTATATAATCAAGAGTACATAATAGAGTACTGTATTATGTATAGAGTATATTATTGATATAATGCATGGCGTGTCCGTCCGTGGGCTGACAGCAACAGCAACAGCAGTTGTGGGAGATTGCGTGTAAACAGAAAGGTGTGTGTGGGTGCACGTGTGTGCCTGAGTGATTGGCGTGTGTGTGTGTATGTGTAGGTGTGTGTGTGTGTGTGTGTGTGTGTGTGTGTGTGTGTGTGTGTGTGTGTGTGTGTGTGTGTGTGTGTGTGTGTGTGTGTGTGTGTGTGTGTGTGTGTGTGTGTGTGTGTGTGTGTGTGTGTGTGTGTGTNCATCATCATCATCATCATCATCATCATCATCATCACCACCACCACCAACACCACTATCATTTTCACCACCAACACCACTATCATCATCACCACCAACACCACTATCATCATCATCATCACCACCACCACCACCACCACCACCACCACCAGCAGCAGCAGCAGCAGCAGCAGCAGCACAACCACCACCACCACCACTAGCAGCAGCAGCAGCAGCAGCAGCAGCGCTGGCTGGTCCATCATCATCCTAGGTCCATCGTTCATCAGCACCTGGAATCTTCGTTATAGTTCGTGAACGATGCACTGAAGATCACAGTGTTCACGCGTCCGTTCGACGCCCACCGGTGCCGCCGCCTCCTCCGCCAGCACGCGCACTTCAGTATCTTGATGAAGGCGCGCTTGAACGTCCGATTAAAGGTCGTATACACCAACGGGTTCAACGTCGACGAGATGTACCCTAGCCACAGCGACACGATGAAGAGGATCTCGGGTATTTTGATCTTGTCGCCCCAGATCGCCGAGATGACGTTCAGCGTGAAGAAGGGAGACCAGCAGAGAACGAACGTGCTGAAGACGATGCCGAGGACCTTCGTCGCCTTCTGTTCGTTGGCGACCGCGCTGGCGCCCAGCGACGTCCGGCGGGCCGTTAGGATGCTCGACGCTCGGTTCTTCAGCTGCGAGCGAATGTTCGTCATCTTGCTGATCTTACGATGCGGATGCTGCTGCTGCGAGGCTGTAGCCGGGTCGGCGGTGAGCGGGTTGTACAGATCGAGAGAGTCCTCCGGCGTGGTGCTCGGCGAGCGAGTGTACTTGCCGAGATGCTCCTGGCTGTGCTCGCGCCGTAGCGACGAATCGCGGCCGGTGCCGCGCGGACGCCGCGACTGCTGCACGAACGTACGCCGCAGCCGCACGCCCTCGGACGGATTATCACAGCAGAGCTTCGCCTGCTTGCGGAGCAGATGCACCGTCATGCTGTACGTTATCACCATGATGACGAGCGGAACGTAGAAGGCTATCATCGACCCGATGTTCTTGAAGAAGTCGTTGTTGATCATGCACAGCTGTATTGTCTTCTCTGTGGGCGGTGGCGGCAGCGCGCCCTCGGTGAGCGCCGCCGTGTCGTTGCCGCCGACGGTGACGTTGAGGAGGATGTTGGATGCGTCGATGACACCGAGGACCGTCAGCGGACAGGAGATGCCGAACGAGATGAGCCAGACGACGCAGATCTTCGCGAAGATGATGCGCTTCGACTTGTTTCGCGTCTTCAGCGGGTTGCTGATGCCCAGGTAGCGGTCGAGCGAGATGGTGCACATGTGCATGATGGATGAAGTGCAGCAGAGCACGTCCGTAGTCGTGTAGAAGTTGCAGACGATCGTACCGAACGGCCACGAGTCTGGGGAAAAAGGGGGAAAATTCACGAGGTTAATATTTTGAAATCACGTTTATTAGTTTACAAAAACCGAACGGCCACGAGTCTGGGGAAGAAAGGGGGAAATTTCACGAGGTTAATATTTTGAAATCACGTTTATTAGTTTACAAAAACCGAACGGCCACGAGTCTGGGGAAAAATACCGGGGAGA